ATTATTGATCTAAGGGCTGTCGGTAGGGAGTACTCTAATTCTGAAACTTTGACTAAGTTTCTAGAATGTCTTCCTGAGACTTGGGATACCTTCTCCATGTKTCTCAAGTTATCAAACGACATGTCCTCTCTTTCTCTTTCTATTTTATACGGGATTGTGCTTAACCATGAGCAATCTCGTCAACTAAAAAGAAATCTTGTAAGGGACATGAAAAGCTCTTCTTTAGCTTTGATCTATGAAGCTCCTTTAGTTGAAACTTCTACTCCTTTTGTTTCTTCTCTACCTCCCGTTGTCATTACGGAGATGGACTCTTCTGAGGACATTCCAGAATCTGCTCTCTCAGATTTTGATGAGTCCCTGGCACTCCTAACCAAGTCATTTAGGAGGTTTGCCAATAAGAGTAAATTCCGCAGGTTCCCTCAGCTGTCCCTAAGGGAAAAGCCAAAGTCTGAAAGAATAGACAAGGCTTTAGTTGTCTGCTACAACTGTCACCGAACAGGTCATTTTGCAGGTGAATGCAGATCTAAGAGGACTGTGACGCCATCTTCCAAAGCTACTTCATCCTCCAGGACTATAGATGAGAAATATTCCAGACTGAAGGACAAGTACAAAAAGATGAAGAAGAACCAGCAAAAGTCCAAAGGTCTTGTTGCTGAAGAGCTTGATTGGGCTGAATCATCTGAAGAATCATCTTCTGATGAWSAGGATAAAGCCTATGTCTGCCTGATGGCCATAAATGCTGACGAAGGAACTTCTGAAGCATCCACCTCCTCAGAGCCATCTTCTTTCTCTACTCAGGTATGTCTCCTGAATGAATCTTTTTCCTCTAGTCTTTCTGCACTGGATACTCTGACGGTTGACCTTTACAATGCCCTTAATGGCAAATCTAAAGCTGAGTTGCTTAATATTGATCTTCAAGAGAAATTGAAGATTTGCCATTTTAAGATCAAAGAACTTACCTCTGTTGAGGAAAATCTTAAAGATCAGGTTATTGTAARCCAAACCATTACTGTTGAACGTGAAAAGGCTATTGCTGAGCGTGAGCGAGCAATCGCTAAACTCAAGGCTGAGAAAGCTACCATAGAAGGATGGTGTAAAGCTTCGTTTAAAGCCTCTGAGATCATTAACGCTCAGGTTCCCGCCAAGTCAAAGACTGGTCTAGGATTTTCCTATGATCAGGAAG